TGAGCTGTAAATCTCCGGCGAGTACATCGGGCCGCGTGTGCGGGTGAGTCACACGTCACGGATACCGACGATACTCACCGACACACACATACACGCACGCAACATATAATATACATAGACGGCACCTTCCTTCGGCGTATTCTTTTCTCTTCGGTAGAAAATCGAAGGAAAGGATAATAAGCGAGAAATACACTCTCTCTTACCCGCCGGCCGGTTCCGTGGTTGGCCGCGCGCGCGTGGGCGTAAACGAGAGAGAAAGAGAGAAAAACGGTTGGGAAAGAAAGCAAACGAGAGGGAGAGAGAGAGAGGCAAAGCGTGTAGAGGCGATTTTCTGAAAAAATCGATGGTGAAACCTTCGTTAACGTTCGGTTTAGAGACTCGACGTACTCACGTGCCGTCCATCGCCCGCGGGAGATAATCCCGTTTCGATCGGATCGATTTAACCTGAGAATCGTCATTGCGCGGCGAAAGCGGCGTAGAGACGTCGCCGTGAAAATCATCGTCGTCGAAAAATCTCTTGTCAGGTCGTCTCCATTGGTAACTTTAATCCTTCCATCCGTCGAGAGAAAGAAACGTTAAGCTCGTGATATACTGAAAAACGCAAGGCAGTAAGACGTGAGCAGTAAACCAATCATAATAGATAATCATAATAGATAACGTAAAGCAATAATATGAGGATTAAAGAAATAAAAAACATTGTTTTGCTTATTGTTTACGTCTTACTGCTTATTATGTGCCATTATTAGTACCTCCATGAATACAATTTAATTTTAATCTCGGCTCTTAATTTTTCTAGTTCTAAAATTAGAAAAAGATGAAGAGTAAAGTTGAACCGAAATTAAAATTAATTTACATTAATAGAAACCAACATTAGACATCTATTCTTTTATAGCGTTTTTCATAAACAAAACTAGTGTGCACTCAGTGTGCATTTTAAAACCCTTGTACACAAATCGATGTAAAGATGTATGTTTAATAAAAATAAAAACGAGTTAAACCGCGAAATTCTCAATACATTTTATTGTGCTATTTGATAAAATATACACATTGGGCATTTTATCAATAAATTGAGATATCTCACTTACGTTTAGATCAATTAATGTACAATGGCTTTAATGTGCACTGAGTGCGCGCCAGTTCTGCCAATAAAAAACGCTATTAGATAAAAGACGTCTAAAAAAGTAGACGTCTTCTAAGACGTTTTCTTGTAAGACATCTTATGCAACATGTGTATTATCTGGATAGCGACCGATGATTTGCGACCGGGCTTTCCTGGCGAGTGAGGCGTGCGCGAGAATATCGATGCTTGCGAATCACTGACGAAGCAGAATCTTGCGAAAATGACTCCTGAAAATCCACGATAGAATCGCGCACACGATCGATGAGTGTGGCTTCGCTTTACCGCGACGTGGAGAGGCGCGAATCAAAGAGATCAGCAACAGCGTCACAATTATGCATATAATAATAATGCTTCTCTACTTGAACACGTGCAGGAATTCGACCATTATCGCTAAATCCGCGTTCGAAGAGCGCAAGCTGTTAATCTGACGAACAACTCGTAGATGATATAATAATATTAAAATAACGTAGTATAAAATAGATGTAGTAGAGAAAAAAGAATAAATAGTAGAAGGAAACTTCGGTGATAAAGTTTCACGGTCGTGATAATCATTCGTGTTATTCATTCTTCTGACAAGCGTCACGGATACACCTGAGCAGGTTTTCTCTCAGCAAAATACGATGCGTTCAACAAGCCTACGACAATGTTTTAGGGTACGAACATAAAGGAAGTAGATTTTCTGCTTTCCAACCAGCACCGATTGGCACAGACGAGGATACAGTAGACACGTGTAAAGGAAACTTGACGCTGGCCGGAAAGCAGAAAATTTGCTTCCTTTGTGCTCGTACCCTTATGCGACGTTAAGGTTATGCGTTCAGAAACTTCACCCATATGTACGGTGATCATATTTTCTTAAAGAAAATAAAGAACAAATTTGAAAATGTTGGGACTTTGTTTCTATGTTTTCAAACCAGTTTGTGACTGTCAAGAATCTGTGCATTATAAAATTTTATTGCACAGTATAATCAAATTGAAATAATGCGCAGGTTTCTGATAGTTTGAAACTGGTTCGACTATATTGGAACAAACCTTTGATCTGAAATAATAAAAGGTTCGAAATAATAAAAAATGAAAACAACTGCAGCGTGAATAAATTTAATTTAAAAAATTAACAAAAACAAATTGTATTTATATGCATGAAACTGTAAAATATTTTCCGTAAAAATTTGCTCATTAATATAATATTAAACATTAGAACGCTAGTTAGAAAAGAACTCGGGAAAGAATTCGTAATGTCAAATAAATGACAGCAAAGGACAATATTGGAAAATAAAGGACAAAATTGAGTTTTGAAGAAATAAATTTAAAGGACAGCTACCTAAAATAAAGGACTGTCCTTTACAATAAAGGACGTATGGTCACCGTACCCATATGCATCAAAGTATCATTTTATTCTTGTTTAACATTGGTAAGCAACAAGGATAAAATGCAATATACCCCGAATTTCTAAACGTACCTTAATTCGTGCACCCTAACTTGATAATTAATGTAAAAATTGTTTTCTAGCTATGATTAATTAATAAACTAATGGGATGATTTTTTAGTGCATCCTTTGATTTAAACGTCATTTTTTGAAATCAAATAAATGTTTCTTTGATTTGAATGTAATTTCTTGAAATCAAGTACATTTTTATTTTCCTTAAAGGTAATATTTTCACTTTAACTTAAAAAATCAACGAAAGAAACGATTTCTTCAATTTAAACGTAATTTTTCTCTGAGTGCGATAACTTTAAAAGTTATTCACTATAGAACTATCAGTCTAGTGATTAACCATAAATAGAAAAATACAATTTTTATATTAACTACAAGTTATAACTATGGTAAATGAAACATTAGGTTTAAAAATGGAAAGCATCAAACACGTCTGGATGAGCGATCCCTGCATGAGCATCCCTGCATGAGCGATTTCAAAATCCTATAAGAGAGAAAAATATGTGTATTTTCCTGTATATACATTATTCACTTTAGCTTATATCATCTCATTTTATAACTTTAATTAAGATTATAAGTGAGATAGAGGAAGAGAGAAGAGAGTACAAGTTAAAGTGAGATAATATACATACAGATAGAAGGTAATCTATATGTATATAATATAGAAAGAAAGATATAAATAAATAGATAGCTTTATTTATTAAGTATTCTAGGATGAGAGAGTCCTCTCAAGCGCTGGAACAAATAACATTAATACAAGCTTATAAAGTGCATCTCCAGCGTGAAAAAAGTATTACGAATATTAAGAAAAATTATTTAAAAAATTTAATTAAATTAAATGGAAAAATCAAAATCTGTACACACATAAACAAAATAGAATCTATTTACACATTAACAATAGCAGAGAGAGGGGAAAGAGAGAGGAGGGGGTGTATATATATATATATATAAATGTATGTATATATATATACATATATATACATTTTTCTCTCTTTTTCAGGATTTTGACAAAATCTGTCGTGGCTAGGCTCTGACAATATAGAGTCTCTATAGTCTGAACTGCCTTCTATAGCACGCGAAACACTGCAACTTAGAAAGCACACCGTAATATTGATTTATACTCTCGTTGATTTATCGAGAAGATCGAGAGATATCCGTGCGCGACAAGCCCTCGCGCGATAATCGCGCGTTCATTACGTTATATACGTATTTATATTATTATACGTACCGTGCGCGTCGTCGCGGTTACGCACGTCATACGCCTGTCTCTGCGTGTACAAGTCTACGCAATTTAGTGACGAGTATCGCACGGGAGGGAGATCGCGGGAAAGTGGGATGAGGGATGAGAGAGAGAGAGAGGAACAAGCAACTAGTAGAAACTAATAATTTAGTGACTTCTTAATGCCGACTTCCAAGTGTCGTCGTCGTTACTCGCGCATTCCTCCTCGCTTTCATGTCATCGGCATCCTCGCTGGCCGATGCGACGAGCGCGCGGCGAACATCGCGTGTTGTATCGATCTGGCATTATGATTATTATTGCGTTACGCGTCTCGCCTTTGTCTCTCTGTGTATGAGTGTAAGTGCAATGTGTATATGCGTGTGAGTATCAGCGGATTGAGACCTCCGTCAGTGGCACGTATATGTATATACGTACGTACGCAACGATCGTGCGACTTTACGATTTCGTCGCGTACAGGTATACAATGTACATACGCGTATAGATCCCTGTCGGCGAACGCGTCGCGCATTGTGCCGTTCAACTCGCTCCGTCGGCGTCGTTATCGCGACCTCGCGCTACGAGTCAGTACGAGTGTATTCGAGTGTATTCGAGTGTATTCGAGTGTATTCGAGAACGGAAAGATTATTTTTGTTATTGTTATTGTTCTTTCTCATTTCACTGTTACGCGAGTCGCTCGCGCGGAGTTACAGTCGTTACGAACGCGTGCTCGTAAGTTACGGAACGCGATACGTCAAGTCCGCAATACAAACTTTTGCGTAACGCTGTATAACGCATAAGAGAATCGACCAATCAGAGTATAAAATGAAGGGCTCTGATTGGTCGATTCTCTTATGCCTTATGCTTTACGCGGCGTTATGCAAAAGTCTGTTGTGCTGCGGCCTTTACGAATTCTTAATTCTCTCGAGGGATAAATTTCTCGGGGAGAGTCTCGGATTACATTTTGTCGGAAGGCGTGGCAAAACCGTAATGTGCGCGTCGACCATCGCAATCGAGCGTGGTACGTGAACGTAATGAGCCTGACGGATATCGGATTTCTTAGGTTTCGGTGTTGAGACGTCTCGCGCTTAATTGCCACCTTCGTGAAGGAAATCGCGGGCGTTTTACCGTTCGCGGCCCGACCGCACGGGCCCGGTAATTTACTGTCGATTGGTCCGCTTTACAACGATATCGCGCCGGTTACCGGCGTGATTAACGTCTGACCGCTTAAACGGCTCGAATGTACGGCGTCCTAACGTCCAGTAGTCTCGACGATTAATCCCTCTTGAAGAAATTAAAACCACAAAGTTGCGTTTCTTTCGCTTCTTTATGCCTGTACTTTTGTGTTTGTCTGTTACGTGCGTGTATTGTCTTTGTGGTTGTCGTACTCGCGGATCGAATTCATGAACGATAAATTAGAAAACAGCCGCGCCGTTCCGCACCGGAGATTCTAGTAGCGTTGAGTATTTATCGGGTATTTACAAGTTATATCGTGAAACTTCTCGAGAATTTATCTATATCTGTGTTGTTTGAGTCAATTAGCCAAGAAATACCGCCGGTGATTTCGCTAATGTAAAATGTTATACGACGCGTGTCGATCGTCGTCCTCTTTTTTTTATTTCGATACGGAACTGTCATGGAAAATGCTACTGGAACTGTCATTTTTTTTATATTCATAAAATAGCGAGTTAATTTCACAATACAAATTTATGTGGATCCGTAAAGTTACACAACGTAAAGTAGCATAACATTCTGTTAATATAAAAAAATAATGACAGTTCCAGTAACACTTTTTATAATTCTACAATTACTTATAAAAACAAAAAAGTTTTTTTATACTAAAAAATAGAAAAAGTAGTAGCCTGAACTCTGTAAAAAGGATCGTATAGTATTCTGGCTATTATAACTAACGAGAAATGTTGCTACAATTGCGATAAATTATCAGCATGACACTTTTTCCAAGTGCCGTGATGTCTGCATTAAAAGATTATTAAAATTGATAAGTGTTGGAATTTTGTTTTCGAATTACTTATAGTGGGTACAACTCGCGCAATACTCTAATTGTAGCCAAAAGTGGAAACATTTTTCTTTTTCTTGTGTTTTAGAGGGGAAGTGTTGTGCTTAATTCACTAATAACACACTATATTTTCAATTTTAATTTTTAGTACAAAAAATTTCATTCAAATAAGAAATCAGTATATATTATTTAAGCAATATCTGTTAATCCTCGTTATTCTGTTATTCTGACAAAAATTGAAATTTGTAATATTTATTGGTTATAAAAAATTTTAATGGTGACGAGAGAAATATACATTTCTGTTACATATATCTTATTTATTGTAAAAAAAATAAAATGAATGATTTATTTGCTAGGAATAAAATTTTACTTCGCTGTATTTAAATGAGGATTTATTTCAATAAAATAAATATTATATATCACAAATAAATTTTTAAATATCTTTTTCTCGGTGTATTATACGTGTGGGAATTTTCTAATCGTATCTTGATTGTACCTTAATTTTCCATCTCTTTGCGATTAAAGCATCTTGCACTCAAGAACAACACTTATGCTTGCACGATCCTTTGTCGATTTTCCGACCCGCGCCCGAATTCTTGCCGTTCATTTTCTCGATCACGAGTGAGAAAAGAATGCGATTTGACGATCGTTTTCGTCCGACGGTAACTCGCGCGCGAGTTTATGTGTGTATATGTGTGATTATAGTTATTTCACAGATACCTTTGCACGACGCTTATTAACGCTTAATCGCTGAGGCACGAATAGAAGTCGATCGGTATCCGTCCGATCCAGATGCCGATCGTTATCCAACACGGCTTTTCGAGCCCTCCGTTTATGTGAACCTCTTTAACCCGCTTGCAGTTAGAAATTAAACGGACACTTTCATTAACCGTAGCTTTAAACTGCATTTAGATCAAGGGGAGAGGGAGAGGGGAAAGAAGGATTATGTAACGCGAGATTTAGTTGTTCCGTTAGGTATTCGAACGCGCATTTGAAAGTCATTGAAGTTGTAAACTTTACTGGAGAACATTTTATAAATTCGCCGCAATAACGCGAATTATTAAAATCTCATTATGATCGAGTAAACAGCAACGGAAACTAATTTCATAAGTTCATTAATTCACCAACATTCATGTTTTTTGCACCGAATAATTTGCGCCGCGCCGCCGCGTCAAACAAGTATTTGCCACTATATTTTTTATAACTTTTCATTTCCGTAAGCGAAGTTTTATGTCATACGATTGTGACATGTTAGTACATACGAAAAGGATGACTTTGCTGTAGCTTTTAAAAATTTAAGTAGCTAATCTAAAAATAATTTTGTTAGGGGCCATAATTATGATAAGAAACTCAAGCATGATGACCAATGTCATAAAAAAAGTTTTAACATTCTTACAACCAGTTGAACTACATAATTATTTTAATAGTCCAACAAAGTTATTTTCGGATCTATATCTAACTAAATATTTAAATACTCTTGAGCGAAATCGTTCTTTCCGTTTTACTCGCTATTTCGTAATTTTTACAATAATTATTTGTTCCGTCGTGCCGCTGGCAAAGGTAATTGTATGTCCGTATCACGCTATCCATACAGCACAGATCGTTTCAGCAATATTGCAGCAACATTGTAACATTTCAGCAATATTGCATGATTGAAAATTTTACTTAAGCAAGCACTTGCGCTGTATGACTAGCGACTGGCGATTGCGTCTACGTTTGCGTCTCTTGACTCAATCAAAGAAAAGAGTTGGTTAGCAGTTCCTTTTTGATTAGACGGACGATAACTTGATTTTAAATTCATAACGGTTGTCGGCATGCGAGTCGTGTGGAGTCTTTTTTTTAAACGGCTTCTCTCGATCATTCTCTAAATACGTATACGCGCGTCGTTAACGGCCGAGTAAATGGATTTGTTTTCCTGATTAACAGGCGGTGCGCGTGCCTCCCGGAGGCGAGGCGAGAAGTCATCGGAGAATCGCGGCGCACGCAGGACGTCCTCATCGACTGGACGTTGTACATCATCGTCGTCGCGAGTGTATAGTTTTTACCTCGCACATAGAGACGTATAGAACGCGAGTGAATTATTGAGAGAAGAGAAAAGAAAAACGGAAGAACCAAGAGAGGGAGAGAGAGAGTGTGCATCGCAACGCGTGTGAAATGGATGGTACGCCAAAGAAAAGCGAAGCAGTGCTAATATATGGATGCCCATGGGTGGAACTTGGCCGAAATGTGCCAGCGCTACCATCACGCTATACCGGCGGCAGCGGCGACGCAGAATTCCTCGCCAGCTAGGGATCCCTCGGTTGCCATCGCGCAAGGCCTGTCAACCGCCGCTCTCATCGATCAAGCCAGCCCGTCTTATTCGCACTACACGTAAGTTCATTTCTTTCTCCTATCCCCCTCTCATATTTATTTCATGAATATCCGCACGCACCGGCGCGCGGCGGTGTAATAAATTTCATGCGTACCTCTCGCATTTGAGCGATCGGATTGGATCGGATCGTCGCACCTTCGTTATAGGCTCTCGAGTTCGCACTGTCGTGAACTCGAGCGGCTTTTCACATCGAAATCAAATACGTCGTTGAAAATGGGGAGAGGTTTACGTAACACGGTAAAACACATTTTGTGTTGGGAACGATCCACTCGCGTTCTTATTAAAATTTTACGTTGAATTTCTAACCATTCGAGTGTCAATTTAACATAATGTGATTATATTATTTAAATATTTCCTGTTAAAAATTGATATTCAATATTGTTTAGTGTCAAAATGACACAATTTATGAATAAGCGAGGAGGCAACATAAAAATAATGTATTTTTTAAAACATAAATTTTGAATGAAATACGTGTTAATTTAACATATCATAAATATTAACTGTTACTGAATAAATATATATTGAAAAAAATATGCTTCCATAATTTATTTACAAATCGCGTCGCCTTTTTGTGATAATTTTTTGCATAATATCTATGTTACTTTTCAACATATTCAACTTGTGTTAACTTAACGCAAAAATTTTAGTGAACCATTTGGGACACGACACGTGAAATATAATATGTTAAATTTAACACAAATTTTCCAACGGTGCACAGTGTAACGAAGACCGAGCCCGCATTTCGGCGGTTTGGAACACGCGTGGATGGGGCTCCCCATATGCGTACACGTATATACACACATCGCAGGGCTTATCGGGGGTAGGGGGGAGGGGGAGGGGGGAGGCGCCCGGGCCCCGTTCTCAATTGTATCGTATATATTAATAACGATACGGCGAATTAGGGATAAGTATACGTACCGCGCGGTCAGGACCCCCGTAATCCTGTTATTAGCGCGGCGATTAGGGGAAGATGATCCGAAGGCAAATTGCAGGGGCGTGTACCGCGCGTGTTTGGTTAACATAATCGCCAATCGCTATCGCCGATCCGCGCGAGTCCCTCGGAACGAGGAGGGCGATATATGCGAGGCGACGCGGACGTGCGTTTCTCTCAACCCTCTCGTCGGAGATCGACGTGCGCGCGCGTCTCGTTTCCCTCCTTTCTAAATTTTCTTACTTCCTCTCCCCCGCGCGCGTCTTCGGGATGTTAGTGTGTTGGAAATCCATTAAATTGCAGTTTACGCTTGAGATTCAATGTTTCACTATCATTACATCGTACTGCGAAGGCAAAGAGGATAAAAGGTAGCTCTCACTCTCTTTCTCTCTCTCTCTCTCTCTCTCTCTCTCTCTCTTTCTTTCTTTCTCTCCTCGATCCTCTGGGACTGCTAAGGAGGAGGTTGGGAAAATAGCATGCGCGCTGCCGGCCGCGGCATGCGTTTCTAACGTATCGTATAATTTCAGCTATTTCTTATCTCGTTTGCCCGCAGTCTTATTTGCTTGTGCCCTCTTACGACGATACATTCGCGGGGTACTTGCGAGAATTTCGCGTTTAACATTCGTCCGTGCATTTGCGAAACCGAGTCAAACTCGGCACGACGAAAGATGCAACATGTGAAAAGAAGAAAAAAAAGACTCGTTGCGAGCTGTTTCTTTAAAACAATACCCGTTTCGTAACTCTGCGTCTGCAATCTGGGTCTTTTTTAGTATAAGCGACATTTCACTCTCTATGTTTTTCCAAATAAAAGAGCGCGGAATTCTTCTGAAATATCTTATTAAAAAACTTTGGTAATGTAATAGAGATAACAAAAGTAACCCTAAATTTTCCTACATTTTTTAAAAGTCTAGAACAATATAATATATTATAGGACCGTATATGTGATAACGCAAACTATAGAAATCAAAGCCTTAAACGGTCTAACTGGATCTTAATGCTTGTATGATTCTTATGTGAATTCTTATGTGAATTTATATACTACACGGAGAAAATTTTATATTTAAAATTACTATAATGTGGTAGTAGCTACGGTCTTCATGTAAATTATAAGGTTAAATACTATAGTTATTTTTTTAAAAACAATAATATAACGTAATTTTTACACTTTTTCATAGTAAAAATTTTTTATTACAAAATCAAATATACCTAGCAAATTTTGTTTGCGTACCATAGTAAAAATTAACTGTTTTCATGTTAGAATATGGCTTAACAAAATAATTACTTTATTTATGTGATAAAAATTAGTATTACATAGTAAAAGTTAAGTCGGAATCATGTTGTGAGAGTCCATCGAAAATACAAGACATAGTAAAGTGTAATTTAAAATTGTATATATATATATTAAAACTTATAATATAAAATTTTCTCCGTGTACGTGTGTAGTCTCCAGAAACGCGCGCCGAAATGATTTTTCGGTCTTGAAACGCTAACTCTATTAAACTACCGCAGTAGTATCACGAATTAAATTGACTAGCAATTTAACAAATTTTTGATGCTTATTCGCATCTTCGAAATGATCTTAATAATCGCGATCTTAAAATCTAGAACAGTAAAGAGAACTTGGACTGGAAGAAGTAAAAATGTGATTGCAGGGGCAGACGAAGGAGGATTAAAGAGACATTTTGATTCATATTAGATTTAAATTTATTAATACGTCAAACGTATATTGGTACGTCGCGTACGCCAAAAATTCGTGTCCGAAGGTACTACAACGACGCGGATCTTTAAACTACTTCCTTTGACGACGAAAATCAGCTCTATTAAAATGGTTCCGCCCGGTTCCCATTCGTTGCTCTCGGCCGTCGCACGGATCGCGTACCACGTCACGTTATTTTATATGAACGCACGCACGCATGCACGCGTTCATATTAGATATTCCTGCAGTTGCTTTACGCGAAAGTCTTGCAAGTCTGAAAGCTTCATGTTTACGACAATTTATTCGTGAGTTTTGGTCAATTGAAACTTACTCTGTTTGTAGAATATCAAATTTAATTCTCGATTAGATTTAATTGGGAATAGTTTTCAAGTGTCTTATGCCCGATTGCACCAACATTACTTTGACTTTAAACGAGGCTTAAAACTATCTCTGTCTCGTTTTAAAGCGAAAGAGAGACAAAGACAGAAAGAGTTTTAAGCCTTGCTTAAAGTCAAAGTAACGTTGGTGCAACCGGGCCTTATTTTTAATATCTTTGGAGGGACAATCGCGTTTACGGAGTCGCTGATGGATTCTTATCGTGAGTTCGTTTAACATCGCATCACACTCTAAATTTTTAGGAGTGAAATTTCCCAAAACTCCCAAAGAGTGATAATTGAGCCAGTCCAACAGAGTGATTTTGACTCGTATGCCCAATTTCTTCACTTCTAGATAACTTTATCCAAGATGTCTCCCAGAAAGAATGGAGATATCTTCTGGATAAGCTTATCCGCAACTTATCTGGAAGTGAAGAAATTGGGTATTAAAGAATGAAGAATCACCCAATGAGAGTCAATTTTCAATCTATGGCTGCTTTCCTTTTAGGAGATACAGTCAACACAAGTCGATACAAGGGTCATTCTATCTTTGTCACTCTCTGAATATCAAGAAGGATAGAACGACGCTTGTGTCGATTTGTATCATCAAATGGAAAGCAGTGTATGTGAAGAGTGAATAATTTCACTCTCCGCAGGGAGAGACTGAAATTTCACTCTGATAAATGTTAAATTTAGCCTTCTTACATCTGATTAAAATATTATTAGATTTATTCGACGTGTTTTTGCACAAAACGAACGAATATGGTAGAAAAAAGCGTCACTTTGTTTCGTGAGATATCATCATTAAAGTTGACTTTTTAGGTTAGATTAAGAAATTCACTCCTGAAGGAGTGTGAATTCACTCCTTGCCGGATTGTCGCAACTATCACTTTTCTTGGAGTGAAATTTATTCTCAAAAATTTAGAGAGCACATGATTCTATAATAACATTGTTTACTCATTGATTGATTTTCGTATATTTACGAGGAAGTTTCCAATCGAGAATTAGAATGGTCGAGATCGATAAATGTCCATCTACTCTTTTGATCACTTTCTCGATTATCTTCCTTTTAAAATCCTTTCTTTACCTGAATTAAGTAATGAAATTATTCATCGATTTAAAAGATTTAAATTTTTGGTTAACTGTAATTAGATATCAGGTTAAATCTATACTCTAAATTTCTTTGTAGTGAAATCTCACTCCAAGAGAATGAAAATATAATCACCTTCGAAAAAAAAATAAAAATATTTTACTTCTTGAAAAAGAGTGACAGATAATTTTCACTTCTTTTAGGGTGACACCTCACTTTTTTTTTTGGAGTGAGATGTTACTCTTTTGAAATGGAAATTTATTCTATATAAAGAGTGAAAATCGTGATATTTCCACTTTTTTTCAAGGGTGGTATTTTTGCTTTTTTGGGGTGAGATTCCACTACAGAAAATTTAGAGCGTAACCACAAATTAACTAGAAAATAAAAAAGCGGATCTAAGTAGGTACTTCTCCGTATTTTTGAACTGCGAACTGTCGCAGATATCCCCGCGTAAATCACTTCGCGAATTGCGAATAAATTGATTCTCGTTTGATAAGAATTAATATGACGATGCGGCATTGCGCCGGGTCGATCGAGCCAGGGCAAGCTCAATTTGCAAACATCGATTATACCAACGAAACATCAATAATTCCTCGAACGATATGTTACACCACCACGGTAAGTGTACACGCGCCTCGGTTTTTCTTAGTACTTGTGGACTGGAAATACCTGAGTGTTCGCGGACTCTTCGAAAATCATCGTTATTTTCTTTTTTACTCGACTCGCGGCGGCGCGGCGTTTTGGATTTTCCACTTGAATTTCGAACCAAGTTATTTGTTATTTCCAGCTTTTTGTTTCGGCGTCTCAATGCAAAATCGTGGAAATGATTACGCGGAGCGGTGACGTCGCGCTTGACCCCTGGCGTGTAATGCATATGTCGCCGAGGACCTTGTAATCCCTGCGATTGC